TGCCCATTCTGTTATCTATCCTATTTTGTAATGAGACTTAATTTAGCAATACCCATCACCATTTCATCATATTTTTTTTTACTCACTCAATGATAATAATTATACATATTTCTGTCGTAAATGTTGATCTGCTTCTGAGTTTGGTTGAGTGGGTTGACTGTCTCACCTTGAAATGTTGGGTTAAGGGGTGATTACACAAGCATCCTTACTGATAGATTTTGCCACCATTCTTCCACTGCCAAACCATGCTTTTGTGCTTCCTTGATTCTACTGCCAGCATTCTGTCATATAGCTAGTACATCAGAAAAGACTAAGTGTCCTTTCTGATATCTGATACTTTATGAACTTCATAATTCCTTTCTACAAATTTGAATAAACCAAAAACACTAAGTCTGCCTTTCTAGTCTAGGACCATCATTCCTTGGTTGTTCTTAAAATTCATCTGACATTAAACACTTCAAAATATCACCAGCCTTTTACCAATATATGCTCCTTTATATTTTCCAGTTACTGTTTAATTCCTTACTTTGCTTAAGTAAATCCCAGTTTTCATTGGAAAGGAACATGTCACTCCAAATGGCACTTACTCATGTTATGTTTTTCTCACTGAAGCTATCAAACTCATTTGATAGAAAGACAGCATGCTTTTGGCTGAGGATAGAGGTTGGATGTCGTAGGACAGAGGAAGAGTGTGTTAGTGTGGTATGGTTTCCCTTCATTAATAGCTTCTCATCCTTACCAGGCACAACAAGCAAAGGAGACTGAGTTAGTGAAGAAGATCCAGCAGAAGCAAGAGGAGTCAGCTCGACGGCATGAGGAAAATATTGAGCAGATTCGTCAGCGGGCACTTGAGTCTTCCATCATGAAGTATTCCAGAGGCTGTGATGATGCACCCAAACTCATCAGGTACTTCATGTGAGACACATACATACATACATACATACATAAATACATACATACATACAGAGACAGAGAAGTGTGTGTGTGTGTGTGTGTGCGTGTGTGCGTGTGTGCGTGTGTGTGCGTGTGTGTGCGTGCGTGCGTGTGTTTTAACCCATTTGTGCCGGGTAGAAATGAACCAAAAATGGGGAAAATGCTGTGCTCATTTTTTATCTTTTTTTGTGAAATTTCTCTACACTAGATGGCTCTGCCTTACCTGATTTCACCTTTACTTGAATTGGTGGGAAAATGTGTTTTTACTAGTGTTATGAATATTGATGGTTATTTTTATTATAAACATTATAATTACTATAGTGTTATAAACATTAGCAACAGCAAAATAAGATAACGCAAAATAATTTCGTAAATTAAAGAAAAGGGTAAACAGGCAAGACAGGCAGTACAAGTACAAGTGTAGCCATCTATGCATGAAAACAATTAAACAAGTAAACTCATAGTGGGCCTGTCACGTATACGTGACGCCCAGCACGAATGGGTTAAGGGTATTTATTAATTTAGTAGTTTATGCCTGAACATGTGCACACTTGCATTCTCTCTATATATGTGTGTGTAACAGATTTTATGTTATATTTTACAGTATGGAAAACCATTGCTAACCCCTTTTTTTTCTTACAGATATGAAACCAAAAAGCTTTGCACTCTCTGTAACTCCCTGATAACAAGTGAAGTATACTTGCTGAGTCACCTGCGTGGCCGACACCATCAAGAGGCCCTAAGAGCACTTCACCAAGGCGGCGATATTTCCAACGAGGACAGTGAGACCTATAATCTCAAACACATCATAGATGCCCCGGCCAATATTGATGATCCACAGGTAAACTGGTTAATTCTGAGGAACAATTGGTCACTGGTAAAGTGTATGGCAAAATTATGTTTAATCATTTGTATATTCAGTCAGTCAATTTATTCACCCATCCATCCATCTGTATCCACCCACCTATCCATCCATCCATCTGTATTCACCCACCTATCCATCCATCCATCTGTATCCATCCACCTATCCATCCATCCATCTGTATTCACCCACCTATCCATCCATCCATCTGTCCATCCACCCATCCTCCTGTCAGTCCATCAATTCACTATCTGTATTAATCCACTCATCTATCCACCCATTCATTAATCTATCAGTTAGTCAGTCAGTCACGTCAGTCAGTCAGTCAGTCAGTCAGTCAGTCAGTCAGTCAGTCAGTCAGTCAGTCAGTCAGTCAGTCAGTCAGTCAGTCAGTCAGTCAGTCAGTCAGTCAGTCAGTCAGTCAGTCAGTCAGTCAGTCAGTCAGTCAGTCAGTCAGTCAGTCAGTCAGTCAGTCAGTCAGTCAGTCAGTCAGTCAGTCAGTCAGTCAGTCAGTCAGTCAGTCAGTCAGTCAGTCAGTCAGTCAGTCAGTCAGTCAGTCAGTCAGTCAGTCAGTCAGTCAGTCAGTCAGTCAGTCAGTCAGTCAGTCAGTCAGTCAGTCAGTCAGTCAGTCAGTCAGTCAGTCAGTCAGTCAGTCAGTCAGTCAGTCAGTCAGTCAGTCAGTCAGTCAGTCAGTCAGTCAGTCAGTCAGTCAGTCAGTCAGTCAGTCAGTCAGTCAGTCAGTCAGTCAGTCAGTCAGTCAGTCAGTCAGTCAGTCAGTCAGTCAGTCAGTCAGTCAGTTAGTCAGTCAGTCAGTCAGTCCAGCCATCTATTCGTCCAACAGTCCATCTTCCTCTATTATAATGATTCTTATTTGCAGGTGACAAGAGATAAAGAAAGACAAAAAGCCTTGAAGCGAAGATGCAAAAAAATCCGCACTCGGATGACGACTAGAGGCAAGGAGTATGAGACTACTTTCAAGCCTGCAACATTGAAGGACTCTCCCAATAAGTTGCGCATAATGAAGGCCTTGCAACAAATTGTCAAGCTCGTTGCAAACCAGGGATCTGGGCCGTGGCTCACTGCTGATTTGACGGCCTTAGACAGACCACTGTTGGAGCTCCTGAGAATACTAGAGAAGAAAGAGAAGCTTGATCAGGCAATGTTCAGTGCACAAAGTGGGTTCGTGAAGTTGAATTCAGTTCTGAAAGTGATACTCGATGCCACAGAGCAGAGACCGTGTGTATTGCCTGCCAAATCCCTTGGGTTCTGTGGACGCGTGTTGCTGGGTGCCTGCAGGAACAACCCAGATAATTGCCGCTATATCTTATACTCCAATCTGGCAGGAACTCTGATCGATTATCTCATGCAGCGACTGAATGAATTAGTCATTGAAACGACAAGAGTGGGAAGCAATGGCAGTATAAACACCATTGTTAATCTTCCTTCAGATGCTGCAATTGGTGCAATGTTTGAGGTGAGATTAGTATGGTAATCCTTATTGATGTTTAGAAAACTGGTTACAGTTTTATAATTAGATTTACTTATTCATGTTCATCTTGAGATTTATTCTATTTTTAAGTATCTTAATACTTACATGTATAAACGAACTTCGATCAGAAGTATATGAAGGAATTTAGGTCTGAAATTTTGATTGTGTTCTGTCATTTTTTTCTGATGCTATCTTCAAATAAACATAAGTCATAGTGCAGAAACTGACTGTATTAATTCATAGAGAAATAAAAGAACTTCATAACTGAGATAAGTCATTAGGTAGGCAAGCTCACATCTGCAAAGAGCTGAAGTCTTCTCAAGTGACTTGTATATTTCTTTCTTTTTTTTTTTTCTTTTTTCTTTTTTTTTTTTTTTTTTTAGCAAAATTACCCGCTATTTAAGCTTTTGATATATGAGCCTTGATAATTTTGAATTCCTATGGACACAGGTTCTTGCGGAGATGGCACAGGTGCTGTGTGACTCCGACTTGAAGTCTGGTTTGTCGTCACAAGATCAGTCTCAGAAGGATCAGGCAGAAACTACCTGGCTAAGAATACAGGTAAGGTAACCTTATAGTTAATAGGTTTTTATTTGTGAATTAAACATTTTTTTTATATTGCTTCCTCTTTGTTAGACTTATTCAGAATATACTTGATCCTTTTTTTTTTTTTCAACATGAGTATAGTTGAAAGTTTCAAATTTTGTTTGACAGAATTATTTTTGCTATTGGTTGTCTGTCTCATCTGAGAGATCATAGCAACTTACCAATTATGAAAGAGTCAGCTACTAAAATACTGTAGTGTCTTTTCCTTCATTATTCCTAATGATTCCTTCCACTGCACAGGATGTAGTAAGCTATTGCGTCAGTGTGGGACTGGCAGACAAAATCTCATGGTACTTCAGCCATGTGCAGGGGCCTCTGGACAATGATGTAGGTGTTGTAGAGATCATACTTGCAGCCATGAGGCACATCTCTGCACTTGCAAAGTGCCTCTCCTTCAGGTAATTTCATTTACTAAAGTGATGCTGTTTTTAACTAGTTTGTAGAAGCAAACATAATATTATATGCATGTAGGGGAGGCTAGCTAAAATTATATTACATTTTGTGGGAGTATTGAAGAGTCTGTATAAGAAATGTGTTAATAGAAAGCATCACTGGGTACTCAAGGACTATCTTGGCATCCTCTAAGGAATGTCTGTGGGTCACTAGTTAAACAAAAAGTCTTTACCTTTATCAACTATTTTAAAAAGAAGATAAGTTTCCTAAAGTTTTATTTTGTCAGAAATTACCCAGCTGTGTATGTTGCATTGTATCCTCTAGCCTCCTGTGGAATGGTTAAGGCTACACCTTTTTTATTATGGGTGCTTCTCAGTAATCATTCATTGTAAATAATACATTGTCTCCTTCACAGTTCAATACATGTTATATAAAAATTTAATTTTTATCAATCATCTAAACTTTTACTTTGTCACCACCTGTCAGGTCACTGCCTGACGACCCTACACAGCTGATTGGCACTTTGCACGTGACTGATGCATGTGGAGTTGTAAGTCTCCTGTATGGCCTGCTTTTGCATCAGGGAGGTAGGTCGTCCATGGCCCAGGCTCCAGCAAAGCTGTCAAAGATGACAGAGGCACTTACCATCGAAGCCACAACCTTGCTGCACCAGCTAGCATCACTGGATCTGAACATGTTTCAGGTAGGGATGAGGAGGGCAGTAGGAATATGGATAAGGATGTAAAGGAATGAAAGGGCTAGGAGGATTGAATTTTTGTGGAGGGAATAGTAAACAAAGACTTGAAGTGTTGCCTAATGATGATAGGTTTAGTAGTGATGTCCATTCACTTTAAGGCAGTAAATTTGTTGCAATATTTCTCTTTTGGGTGTTTCAAGATTTCTTTGTTTGAGTATTTTGAAAGAATGGCATAGGAAATCAACTTTGTGAATTACCTTAAAGAAAATGAAAAATCTAACTTAATGTCCGGTCACCCTCCACAGTTATAGATGTAATGATGTGTAATAATCCCTGTGCTATCATAGTTCAAATGATTGCATTTCTAGCATGTTGTATATACTGTCTTATTTCCATTATAGTTTATTATGGAAAAAAATTAAAATGTTATTACCAGGTGGTAATGAGAATGGATGAGGAGATTACAGAATAGTCTATTAAAGCCAAATTATCATTACTCTTCATGTAGTTATATTTTTCTTTTGTTTCTACAGGGAATTTTGGGCAGTGAGGGCATATCCCTCGAGTTACGTCATATTGCCAGCTACCTCCTTTGGTACTGCTCCCATTGGCCATGTGATGATATTCTGCACAATGTTATACCTTTAGTGGGATTCTTTGCAGTTAACAACAAAGAAAATCAAGTATGTAGAAATTCTTAACAGAATTTTTTTTTTCTTTCTTTCTTTCTTTCTTTCTTTTCCATGCTTCAGTATTCTATGGGTTGGTTTTGAGAGTTGATTTGATATATGTATTTTTTTGTAAAAAAATTATGAAAGAGATGAAAAAATGTACATATATAAATCTGCATTTTTGATCAGGTACATTCTACAATATGATTTTTTATTTCAAAAACAAGTAGAGCTTTAAACAAAGAAGGCAACAGTAGAATTGAGCAACTTCTCTCACTATGTTCCTCTTCCCAGATGGTCATCCAGAGTGGAGAGATGCCAAGCGTGTTGCAGCAGCTGTGCAACCTCCCGTGGCAGTACTTCAGTGAACCCCGCCTTACAGCCGTGCTCTTCCCAACTCTCCTTGCATGCAGCCTGGGCAACCATGACAACATGCTCATACTGCAGCAAGAAATGAGTTTCCAGGTTTGTAGTTTGTCAGTCTTAGTGTACTGTTTGTGGAAGGGAATGATTGTTGTTAATGGGGTGTATGGATGGGTGATTGTATGGAATTAAGGATGAATTAACCCATTGCCACCGGGGATGGCATGTATGTACATGCCATGCCCACTGTGAGTCGACTTGTTTGATTGTTTTTACACATAGATGACAATGAGCCAATTACGAGTACCGCCTATCTCGCCCGTTCACCCTTTTCATCAATTTACAAAAATATTTAACATTATCCTAATTTGCTGTTAAAAATAACACCATCTATATTTATAGCACTAGTAAGAATACGTTTTTTCCCGCCAATTCAAGGAAAGGTGAAATCAGGACTAGCAGAGCCAACTATGGACAGAGATATTTTACAAAAATATAAAAAATGAGTACAGCATTTTCCCCATTTTTTGTTCATTTTCCCTGGCAGCAATGGGTTAATTGACTGCCTGATGTCACCTGTTCTTGTTATATGTTTTTTAAAGTCATCATTGTTAGTGTCAATTTGCTGGTGGGAAGATGTGATGTTCAGTGTAATTTTGTTTTATAAAATTTATTCACACATAGATGGCTCCACAAGTATTCCTCATTACCTCACCTGATTTCCCCTTCCCTTGAGTTTTTGGAAACTGTTTTACTAATGCTATTAGTACTGATGCTGGTATTATTGTGATAGACATTATGATTATTGTGATGTTATGAAAATTACTAATAGCAATATATGATAAAAGTAGCAATATATGATAAAAGATAAAATTTCTGAGAATCAGGGAAAAGAATAAAAAGGTGAGATAGGTAGTATTAGCAATTGACTCCTTAGTGAGTAAGCAGTTCTGGAGCCACCGTTGTGTAAAGACAAATTGTAAATATAACTCACTGTGGGCATGGTAAGTACGCACTTGCTATTCCCAGTGGCATTGGGCTGACTGAATTATGGTCGATAAATGGAAACAAGATAAATAACAGGATGAAATGATGGAGGAATTACAATAAGGATGGATAAATGGGAGGATGGAAACCAGGAGGGAAGAAGGGAAGCAAGATGGAATGGATTGATGGAAATGAAGCTAGATGAATGTCAAGAAGTTTGGATGGATGAATGAATGCGTGAATGAAGTAGGAGACTCTTCCATCGATAAATTCAATGGTCCTGAGTCATCAAAAAAGTATTGTATGCATTGTTAGGATATTTATTTTACTGCTCTGTGTTGTCAGAGGCATTATCACATGATTTTTCTTTTTCTTCATTTCTTTTGTTGTTATTATTTTCTTCTAAGATTTGCTTTGCTATTTTGTGTTCTGATATAGTGTAGCAGTCTATGCTGTGTGTTTGCTTACTGTATTTGTGTTTTATTTGCAGGTACTCGAAGACTTCCTGCACAACAGCCAAGCTTTAGACAAACCTCTTGTCCATATTCTTCGCAGAACCTATGTCCAAGGTTAAGAATGTTAGAGAATGTAGAGTATTACATTTACTTGAATTTGTATCTTCTTTACAAATTTTTATCTTTGTACAACTCGTTACTTTTGTACGCGGTGGATGGCTTTTATGTACGTCCCTAGAAATCTCAAATAATCTCATGAAACCTATGTGATTTAAACCCACAGAGACTTTTTATTTATGTGACAAAACATACTATGTGCCAGATTTTTTTTTCTTCTGTTTTTGCAAGGAAACATGGACTCATTCTACACAAGTGAGAAGGAATCACTGGGGTGTTGTGATATGTGAAATTATTATACAGGAATTCCACCCTGTTAAGAGAGAGGGGGATTTATTATGCAGGGATTCCATTTCATTGGGAAAGAGATCCATGTTTGGCATTTTATGCTTTGCTATAATTAGAGTATTGTTACTCTGTAAGTAAAGAGTTATGAGTTAGTTTTGCCATTTTAACCCTGAAATGGGTTGAAAGTTTTCTTTTCTTCTCATTTTTTTCTGCTTAAATCAGGCATTTTGATAAGCTTTGTCATAAACACTTGCATTACAGGTATTTGTTAGTGATAGGCATGTAAAGGTGATAAGAAACATTCCAAAATTTCAT